TTTGGGAGCCATTTATGACATGGGTTTGCCTAAAATAAGCCTAAACCCTGGTATCTACTGTCAAACGCTGATATGCAACAAAACCTTACAAGCGTCCCTAAAATAGTCTGTTTGTAGTTCTGTGCTGTTGTGCCTCTCCCATCTCCTGGTCCATGGAAAGCACAGATAGTGATAGTGGATTCTTCCTGCCTGACCGTTTCCTCCTCTACTCATTGTCTGGAACTGCTTTGAGGTGACATACTGCCCGTAGAGATGTGGCTGGTCTTAAAAACTGTAAAGATGAATTGCAACTACTTAAGTTTTTACAAATGACAACATATTTCCGTAAACCTATACTTTGTTTACTGCTCTTTATACAAGCTTCACCACATTAAAAAACTTGAACAGATGTTATCTTAACGCACACACGCAACACGCACACACAAAGCCTCATTGTTCATACTTTAGTGGTAGAGGGAGCTCTCGTGAGAAATCGTGGGGAGAACATACAAACCCAACACAGAAAGGCCCGGGAGATGAGACCACAGACTTCTTGCTGTGGGGTGAGGGTGCTAATCCACGTTATCTTTTCACTCTGACATAAAGCATTTAAAAAGAGATTTATTCAGTCAATGCGTCAGTGCACTCTGTAATTCTGTCATGGTTTCGCAGGGCAGATGCTTGTTGTGATAGGACCAGGGTCGGGGAAGGGTGTCACAAGGATTTTGGCTGCCGATCGCTCCTCACAGCCGTCTGTCATTTCAGCAGCTCACATTGTCATAAGCGTTGTCACTTCAGAGATGCAGTCCTTAAGAAATATGGCACACATTGAAGGATATATTTGGAAGGTATTCTTAGAGGCTGTCACACTGCATATATACTTTACTTAAGAGGGATTATTGGCATTGCTGCAAGAAATATGTGCAGCAAGGCAAAACAGTATAAATAAATGCGGTTGGAATATGTATGCAACGATCTGATGCTCTTTTTTGTTATGCTCGCAGGTGGCTGGAACCTATCCCAGTAACTATGGGCCTAAGGTGAGGTGCATTCTGGGCAGAGGCCAGTTAGTTGTAGGGAGAACAATACACACAGACGAAAGAGAAAACCATCCACAATAGGTCTCACACACACATACACCGTTGCACACGCACTCACACACATACTCTCTCTCTCACACTCACACACACACACACACACACACACACACACACACACACACACACACGCCTATGGATGGGGGAGGAGAGACACATTACCTTGAGTGCCGGGAGGGATCAAACCCCTAACACATACATATGATATATGATCGTGTATAGAACCTACGTAAGATAAATGAATCATTCACGAAATATGAAAAAATGCTATCTGTAGTATAGGTGTCTGGTATCGCCTATACAGTATATAAGTGATACCAGACACATTCAAATCATTCTAAAAGTTTTAGAGGCGATACTAAATTGTTTACCTGATGAGGAAGTGCAAAAAAACAAAACGAGAGGCCAAAAATCTTAAAATGCCAAAGTGCCGCTCTGAGGCATCGACTCCTGGCTGAAACTCAGGCCCCACAGTAGCTACCAAATCGTAGCTGTGTGACTCCACGCTGCTCTGATTAATGGTAGAGGCTGTGGGTGGGTGGTAGACATGGATCTGCCCATTACCACACTGCAACATTGCAAATGGCTTCAATTACTGTGGAGTGTGCTGAGCTGGCAGTAGAGGCTCCAGGAGGCAAGATGAGCAGCGTGCAGCGGCAGCTAACTCCACTGTGATCCATTCATTCGCACAACATGATCATAAGCAAGTGTATTTCTACTATTGTGTAAATTACCAACAAAAACAGCCATGCAAGTATTTATATTAAAAAAAAAAATAGCTCCAACGGGTGTTCACTATGGTCTGGGGTCAGAGGGTTGTGCTTTTGCTGTGTGTAGGCTGCAGTCACACTAACATGACCCCAATTGTAACACTGTTTCCTCTACAAACTGACTCGCTGGGACTAAACAGTAGCAGCACATATTGAGGGTTTGCCAAGTGGCTGACAAGTATCATGAGGGTCTGCATGCCCACGCCTGCCCTACACCCTGCCACCCCCACAAACCCTGGCACGGGGGCAGGGACAGCCTCCCTGAGCCACAACGCTGGGATTCCCTCTTCTAATGACGCTCCTGAGACCAGAGCCAAGTGTGTGGCAGTCACTTCAGGCTGTCAATCACAGCTCAATATCCCCATCACCATCGTTCCTGATACTCCCTCACTTCACAACATTATAATATACATAAACTTACAATGAACAAAGACACTACAGATAAGTTTCATGTTTCATGATGATTCATGCATATTTGAGTAATATTCAGTCTCCTATGTTGTCATCACTCCTGTTTTCGTTACCACACCTTCCTTTCTTGCTCATTTTTAGATATACAAATGTATTTCAAAACCATTTTCAAAATAGAAAGGGGACTCTTTTAGATCAATATTGAGATTTAAAATGTAGACAATACATAATAAGGAGTCATGGTCATAGAGATAATAACTATAAAGAAATAAATGGGGAACATTGCAACTTTTCATGTGGGGAGGTGGGGGCCCATCTCCTTGGTGGTTATGTGAGTCTGTTCTCAGAATGCTCCACAGTATTGTTTTCTACTTACTTCAGAGTTCGGCAAATGCAATTCTAACTTTCACTTTTATGATTTGTTTTTGACAAAAAAAAATAGCAATTATTTTATATGTTAGTGAAGGTCAAAATTAGGCAATAGGGAAGATTTTGTTAAGCAAACAAAATGGCACGGGTCAAATCTGTTCAGATTTCAGGGAGGGAAGAGATGAAACGAATAAATTAAAAAATTGCGCTAAAATTGAGTCAATGACTGTGTTAGTGGAAGTGGAAAAGGATCATTAGGAGACTCCCACCCACAACTAAATGCTTCCCCTTCACAAATCACATCAATGAATGTCACAGGCTATGAGAAATGCTCTGTGTGTCACACCACATGGAGGCAGGACAGACGTTAATAAGTGAACATACTTAACGGAGGAGGTGGGGAGACAGGGATTCCCTTCAGTTCTTCTTTCGTTGTTTGTGTGGGGAAACCGTGTTGTCATCCAAGATGAGGACAAAAATTATGTAGCAGGTACAGCACCAAATATAGATCTACAAATAATGACTATACATTTCCCATTGGTCTGTGTATAAACTGCAAGCAGACATTAATTCTTCAATCGTGATGCTGTGTTTATCAGATTGACAATCAAGGCCTGTTATTACCATCAACCGATACATTTCATTACTTGAGACTGGATGAGCTAATTCCATAGAAAAGAAAGGAAGTACTACATCTGGAGGTGAAGTCATCATATTGATTGAGGATGGGTGGACCCACTCATTTCAAGATATTTATATGAGATAAACACAGTTCTGCATGGTCAATAATCAAAGTTCAGAGTTCAGTCAGAATTGTCTTTTTCTGTCAACATTAAACATGTCTTTGAGAGAATGTAAGACGGATAACTATTGTTTATAAAAGAATAATAATAAGATTTGAGTTTGTAAAAAAATTAGTTTGCATATCTCAATATTATTTTAAGACAGTAAATGCTTAATAGATTCTGACATGGAGAGTAGCAAAACAATACATCAAAAGTTTCCAAAAACGAGTTTGAGAAAGCAGCTCCAAAGTACACCTTTTTGACATTTCATTTTTTGACATCAGACTGAGTTTAGCCTAATGTTCTGGGATGGTTTGCTGACAAAGCTGTCAAAACTTCAAACAGAGCAGACTGGCAGCTCCCCTCACATGCGTCCACAATGCTCCAAGTCTCAAACCTCCTTTCCCTCCTTTTCACATCAGCGCCTGTGACCCGACGAGAGCCGACAGACAGACACGCCTCCTGTGGGGTACTACCAAGGAGCAGTGCCCACGTTTCACAGACATTTCTTCAGGGGGTAGGAAACGTACAAACAAAACAATAACAAACAATGTCTTCTGAGAGACGCACTATGGATGATGTATCAGTTATTTGGATTGAATATGCATTATGCGCTACAGATGTGATTGACAGGGATTTCAACTTTAGCGAAGGAAAAGAAGACAGGGGCGAGACAGACTTGTGCAGGTGTGCGTGGGAGCAGACAATACCAGGGCAGGCTCCTCGCTAACCTCATTAACATGTCCCTAGTTCAGTTCAACCACTAATTGTCCTCTCCGAGCAACTTGAAATGCTACAGTTAAATGTGAATAATTATTTGCAAATTATGTCAAATAACAATTGTTGATCATAACCGGAAAAACCAGGCCAATGCGTTGGTGTATGGTATTTACTGATGTATTATATAATGTGCAAATCATATTTAGAATTAGTCCAATGTGGCAGTGGTTAATGATATAAGCTGTGTAAAAATAATTCAACATTGAGACATGATGCATTGACACTAAGACGAGACATTCAGATTCGAATGAGTGTAAATAGAAAGCTTAAACAGAAAAGGCTGTAGTGCTGATTCAACATAAAATTTGGAGTGCTATACACAAGTCTGGGGTCTTGTTGTTATTATTATTATTATTATTATCATTATTATAAACAGTACAGCTACAGACCATTATCAAAATCAAATATCAAAAACAGGTATTGTTCAAATACTTAATTTTTTTTTTTTTAAAGGTTCAAAGCCTTACACAGAAGCCAAAATACTGATCAATCTAAACAAAAAAATCTAATATCTTATCTCTATACTTCAACATGGCCAAGGTGAACTTGAGAAATTATAGACACAATGACATTAAATTGCAGTTTAGGGTTAGGGTGACTGCGGAGTAGAACAACAATGTTTACAAATCAAGTCAATTAGGTAAATGGAAATTATAACAATAATTGACATTTATTCTGACAATATTGTCTGTTTAAAGGTCTGTTTATCATTGAATTTCATTCTCTGTCAACAAAACAAAATAAATCATTTGTAATTGGAGATAAAGTAGAATGACCTTCTGTCAAAAGCTGTAGTACATGGACTCAGATCAATGGGACATGATTGTTGGGCCAAAGGGTTTGGGTACAGACTGTTTACCGCTGAAAGAATTCTCCTCCTCAGTCAGCGTCGCGCAGGCGTCTGTCGGCTGCTCCACCAACATGAACTGGTAACGGTGAAAGCCACATTTGCTTGGCGGAGTCGGCGGGCGATAGTCTGCATGGTACAAGACATGTTAATGAGAAAAGCTGGAGAGGTGAGGTGCAGATAAATAAATACAGTGTAATTCTCACCCTCTCAACCAAACAGAAAATATAACAAATACTATTTTTATGAATGCTAATCAGTTATGGTTCCCTTCAAAATATGCAGGCTGCTAAAATATCAACAAACAAAATAGGTGCATAAGGATAAAGAGTCACTTGCTGGTCAGAATCATGCCTTTTATTTGTCCTTTCGGAGAGAAATGCCCTAAAAATAGAGTGAGGTAACACAGGGCAGTAAATCACACTTTTTGAAAGAAGACTGAAAGGCAATTTTTTTTTATTAAAACGCATTAAAATACCAAAAACAAATTAATGTAGTCAAATTAATCTTTTATTAATTTGAAAACATGTTGACATTTTTTTCTCGGGAGAATTATTTTGAAGATTGAGAACTTTCTTAATTGATATTATTTAAATGACTAATTTACAGATAGAGATTGAAAATGCGCCTCAAAATAGTTCATGTACTAATTAGTAAGTAATATGCTTTTTTTAGAATGTAAACATATTTTCAATGTATATTTAATTAAATATCTAATTTTCAATCCAATCCATCATAATAGTTTCTCGCCATCGAAACAGTTTTGTTTTACTGATCGAGTCTCAGCCCAATGAGTCTAACAGTGACTCACGTGGCTGAAAAAAACATGTTTTTCTAAAAAGTTGAACTTGTACTTTTATTAAGCAAAAATACATGTAGTAATTATGTCATTAAAAAGTTGGGTACTCCAGCTTGAATTGAGATCATTCCAAAAAGCAGGGATCCATATGACTACTAAATAGTTATAATAATAACCGAAAGGAATATTTTTTTCCTGGATAAGCCTCTTCCACAGGGATAGTAAGGTTAAACTCCCTCACCCCCAGAAGCTCTGCAAATTGTACACAGAGATGTTTGTTTAATAGACTTGGCTCCTCGCTGCAACACGCTGCATCTTTGAGTGGGAGGAAAACCACTAAATATGCTGTCTGTGAAATGGCCCAAAACCCACTTGAGGTAAGCGTGGAAGTCCCCATCAAAAGAGTCAAGTGCTTCCATCAGCGCACTTCTGTCTACAGGCACATGCGCCACCCACAGGCACACACATGAACTACAGCTCAGAGAAGGCCAGTCCTTATTCAACTGGTCGGTCTTCAGTCGTTTGGTCGAAATGGTTGATGGTGTTTTTATCAACCAAACATTTGTAATAGTTGACTATTTATTTAGTTTACAAGGATGAGAAAACTTGCAAAATACCAGAAACCAAGGAAGCAATTTTCTGAAGATTTTGGTTATTTACTTTGACATTCAAGATAAATCAAACTCAATAAAGTAGTTTCAATAATCTTTTTGTGAACAGCTCAGTATTAAAGTTATTTCATACCTAAATTGTTGTTTTTTGCGTGAAAGTCGTGAAAGTACAGTTTAAGCTAACTACTGTAGATAGTTTCGAATTGTTTTTGACTAATCGTTCAAACCCAAGAATTTATTTTGTTGACGACAGTGCTACAGATTAGATTATTAAAATGAATGTTGCAAACAAGGACTTAACAAGAAACTATGTCAAACAATGCACTTCTTACTGCCAATATATTTAGCACTTTTCTGAGTTTTTTGAAATTCCATATTCATTTTACACCTTAAATGCAAGGTATATTTCCTGGTCTCATTGTGTTGCTTCTGGAGACAATATCAGTGTGCAATCATTTCATAAAATGCTTATAACTCAATACGAAATGATTGAGCTTTCATAAATATTAACACAAACATTTTTTGTGAAAGCTTGGTTGTTTCAATATACGAGCTTGTGCAGTCTTTCCAACACTTATCAGCGAGAAATATCTTTTTTTAGAAATACCAGGAGTCCTGCTGCCTCAAGCATCCAAACCCATCACCATAGAAACAAGTAGTCAACATTTGAAGAGGCAACAGTTTTCCATATTGTAAAAACTCCCCATGCCCTTTGAATATATTTTAAATACAGAGAAAAATGCTATGTTATGATTTGGAGAATAAAGATTCCAACTTCTTCAACAAAAACTGCTACTGGCTTCGTGAAACTGGGTAATTGTGTGTCACTAAGTGACCCTTAGATACAGCAGCAGCACTTATCTACAAGACATTCTCACATGGTGGGCGGGATTTCCTGTGGGACCCCTGCAGCGGGGGTGGAGCATAAAGCACTTAATATTATTGAGACATAATGATTGGCAGCTGATAATTGGACCACTATAGTATATAACATAAACAGTTAAATGGGTTTGCATGGTTTATTACTAATATCATGGGTTCAACAAATCTGTATACTAAATAATCAATATGGGGTTAGGCAAAAGATGTGACAAAGTTCAAACTAATCTTTTTGTCTGTAAAATAGACGATATTTGGATGTAAAATGATTCTTGGCTGAAGACATTAATACACTAAATTAATCAATAGACCCATCTATAACAGATATTGTTCATAAATCCATCACATCTCACAGGTGTGCCATTATAAGATGCTAATTAGACTTAAATTGAATATACGACACAGCCTAGGCCTCCCACATTGCCCTGGGGGCAATGGCTAGGTGAAGTTGCTGAATATTGGCAGGAACTGGAACACATCGGCAATGTAGAGCATTCCAAACCTTTCCAAACCTACTCAACATGTCCAATGAGTAAGAACTGGGATGTTTTCAGGTGTGATTACAATCTCATTACAATATCTCTGTGCAACCCAAATGCCATCAATGAGTGCATTGACAAAGCACTTTGATAGACAAAGACGACGAGAACGTTTGAAGGTGCTGTTGATGCGGAACAGGGAAAAGCCAGGCTAATCATAGAAATGTATGTATTTGGTGTTACCTGCCCATGCCTGATGTGCCTGCATGTGAAAGCTTTTCACTTTTTGGGAGGGCTGAGCAGAGGTTTGAGCAGAGTTTTCCAGTCCTTTATATCCATACTAACTTCCTCTAAATTATCCAGGGACAGCCACGCAACAGGTCTCCTCCCAGTAAAACATGCTCAAAAAACAGATACCCAAGCCACCTAGTGCCTCTCTTCCTAGAGAAGCAGCTCCTCTTGCGTGACTGAACTCCTCATGGATCACCCAGCCACTAAGCAGTCTTATCCTTTCTGTCATTACCCAATGCTCATGGCCATAAGAGAGGATGTGGACAGTTGTTTGAGAGGTTTGCCTTTTGACTTGTTTCAATCAGCCAATCTCCCACTCCACTCTTCCCTCACTCGTGAACAAGACTAGGGTTTCTTGAAGTCCTCCACATGAGGGAGGGTTTTTCTACTTGGAAAGGGCAAGAACAAATTTCACAGAGAACCATGGTTTTAGATTTGGTGGTGCTGACTTGTATCCCAGCCCCTTTACACAGACCTAACATGTTTTAGATTAAATATTGTGGTTCCTGTGTGAAGTTCCTCATGGATAAAGTAATTTACATTAGATTAAATGGCTGTATTAGTTGGCAACTTCCCCTTTACACTCTGTTGCCGTAAATGTCCTGACATATGAGTGCATCATGGTAGAAACAACAGAATGCATGTGGTGCATTGCATGCAGATACTGTATATGAATTGAACATAGATGAATCAATTTAAAAACAGGAGAACTTAATTGTCAGTATTTCATAGGATCTTTGTCATGTTTGTTTTGATGAAATTCATTCATTCATAAAAAGTCCAAATGAAATGCAAGAGGAAGACCTGATTTTAAAACTACAATTCCCCTTCACAATTGATGTGATCACTCTATTAATATTAATAATTAAATAAATAGAAGTATTTTTTTAAATCAATTTGTATTATAGTTTTTCTAACAATCAAACCCACCCCCCTCCCACGGGTCTTGTCTAAGAGAGAGAGTCTCACCTGTTACAGCCCAGAGCTGAAAGTCTCCAGCCCCCACTGTCTACAGTTACTTGCCTAAAACCTTAGACCACAGTCTACAAATCATTTGGATAACTTAAGCGAGTTTTATTGGGGTCAAGTTATGTATAAGCCTTAGGGAGGAAGATGAGTCCTGTTTTGGGTTAATTCACTCTCATCACTTCCTGTTCAGAGTGCGGATAGTAGGTGGGAGATTGTAAAGTTGCATGGTGTGGTTACAACAGGACTACCCAGCGGCCCACGAAGAGCCCGGATCTCCATCCACCCGCGTGTGGGAGAAAGAGCTTCCCTTTGTCAGCAGAAAGACTTACTCATTCACCTCCATGTAGGCTCTTGTATATCAGCAGCGGCTCTCCTCCTCCACGCCCCACACACCTACGCCAGGCAGCACCCACGTCCTTTCTCCTGCACTTCGCAGAGCCTCCTTCTCCCGGTACTTGCAGTCAGGCTAACAGACGGGTAGAGAGAGCATGACAGATGGTGTTCACAGCTCTATTTCTGAGGCTGGACTTGCACCGCCACAGCTACTCCCCCCTCCCCCCACTCGCCTATTCCGCTGCAGCCAAGTGCTTATGACAGCCTCCCTCATCTACGCCTCGGTAATTAAGCCCATTCATTTGCAGGGTTATTGTGAATTAAAAGTCTGTTTGGTTCACTTGGAGAAGTGTTCACAGGTTAAACATGTTTGGTTTTATTGGATGATTCGATATCTAACAAGAATAGCCAAAAAGTTTGAGTAATGGGAAGATACCATCAGCACAAATATTTTACAGTGAAAGAAAATAGCCATGCATAATTTCAGTGCAGGGCCACAAATGCAACTGTCACCACACAAAACGTTAGTGTGGTTCCCCATCACGTAAAATGTTTGGGCTCGAAAATGTTTGTTTGGGCTCGAAAATGTTTGGGCTCGAAAAAAACAAAAAAACTTTACAGGACTCTTCTAAGGAATGTTAGATTTGATTTCTTGATTTTTGCATTATAATGCCAAGCATACACTGAGTTTATGAGCGAGATACTTACAGTGCCTTGAAAGAGAATTAATACCCCATAAACAGTTCTATATTTTGTCTCATTATGATCACAATTATTATTTTTTGATTATTTCTCACAGACCGACACAAAGTGGCACCAAACTGTGAAGTGAAGGCAAAATGATACAAGATTTTTTTTTTTTCAAACAATGAAAAAACATTAAAAACATTAATTAAAAAAAACATAAAATATTCAGCCCTGTTTTCTGTGAGTTTATCCAATTCCCTTCAGAGGTTTCCTGGTAATTGATAAGTGGTAAAATGCTGACTATTAATTGGAGTCCATCTAAGTGTGCTGAAATTACAGCTTTTCTATTGTGATTGCCTCAAAAGTTTGAGTATGAGTGAGAGAATGAACATGGCACAAAAATCCTACCAAGACACAGCCGTCTGCATAAACAGCTCCACATCACTGATCGGAGATGCAGTAAAGAGGCCCATGGTAACTCTGGAGGAGCTGTAGACGTACACAGTTGAGTTAGGAAAATCTGTACATGGGGCCTAATGGAATAGTGATAATTATAAGACAGTGTGGAAGCGGGGGACATCCAGCATCACAATTGAAATGTTTCCCTCAATGGAAAGAGCTATGTATAGGGTTGCCACGATTTCAAATTGTTGAGCCACGATTATTGTGAGAGAACATTTTGCAATTTTACAATTGCTCACAATTATCACCATTATGAAAGAAAATCAAATCAGATTCAGATTCAGATTCAGATTCATTTATTTGCCATTTGCAGTAAAACCACATTGGAAAAACTGTGCAAGACTACCCCGGTGTGCACCAGGACACACACCAGAGCTCTTGCCACGGCGCCATCTTTACGGCGCCATGCGATTGTTTTTGGAGTTTTTTGCTGGAAAACAATAAATGGATAAAATAGGATTAACATTAACATTTTTTTTTTTTACGTAATTTTATTGTGTGTATCACTTTTGATATGCAGAAGACCGGCAGATAGTTTTGGCGCTTATTTCAGAACATTTGGACAACTTTATTGACAATTATGCAGTTTGACTTGGACACACAGCAAAGGGTGATTATCTCAAAGATGTTGTATCATGTTTGTATTGGCCCCTTTCGCTGCAACTTTCTGATGACCGGTTTTGCACGTTAGAATTCCATTAGGGACAACAACATCTGGCTCATCTTTTGGATCCCCAACCCTAACCCTAACCCACACTGCTGACTTAAGTCAGTTTTCGGTGGATACAACTCTGGGGGAGCTTGTCCTGCCATTGTGATATGTTCACGAAATATATATCACTGGGCAATATATCCTACAAAAAGGAGATTTTTGTGATACTTTGTATATGACATCAGAAAAATAACCTAATAACAAATCAGCTCTTGTGAGATGCTACTGTTTTCCTGACTTGCTAGAGTGCACAAGTAAGAATCTGCATTTAACTTTATGGCCTGAAATAAATATATTTTCTAAAATGTAGTTTAGAAAGATTTTTTTGTTGTTGTTTCATTTTGAATCAGTACAGGAATTGAGGGATTCCATATTGCAAAATTGATCCACCAATTATATTTACTTTCAACATTATATTTTAATTGGAACAAACATCTTTCTTAATAAGAAAATATGAAAGAAGCATAAGTGCAGAGAGATGTTGTGCACACCTGTGTCCATTGGTGCCAGAGGCAGCTCTATCCAGAGGATCTGCAGCTCTGTACGAACACCAGCCTTCCTGGACATATTTTTGTAACTTGTACAAAAATCAATACAAATATCTTGACTTACAAGATGTACAGTATAATAAACATTACTCATCTACCTTACTCTTCTGTAGCTTGAATGGTCAGTTCTGAAAATTCAAAATAAGGCAGCTTTAACAGATGGCTTTATTCTTCTCATATTTACTATGAACTCAAAGTATAGTGCAGCGGTGCTCTGTGGAGCAGGCTGTGACCTCTGCAGCCAGATGGAGGCAGCTCACAAACTGCTTCACCTTCTGTATTAGTGCCACATGTATTATATGATATATTATAGGTTGTATGTATAAACATACATGTGAAGACTGTTTCAGGAAACTTTTGAACACACTAAACAATAATAAATATAACACATGTAAAGAGAAAAATCCGACATTTTGGTTGAGATAAGTACACAAAGAAAGTGTCTGTCTTTGATGATTAAATGAGCAGGTCTCGCCAGGGCAGGACATGGGAGTGAAACTTGATGTGCTTCAGTGCATTGATAAATTAAAACACTTAACAATAGAGCTTAATGGCTTTAGTAACTCATTTGGTTTTGGTAATAATGAGGTGAGCTGGAAACACAAACTGTCCAGTTGTTAACTGAACTGTATCCTGACATCAGCTGACATGTATAGAGCCTACATGTACCCATGGACCCAGTTCATTAGCTGTGAATCATACCATTACTCTAATCACTGCATGAGAAACTATTCATTTACCACTCCAAATTATCTGATCTAATTTGCATACATTACAAATTTGTCCTCACACAGTGGCCTTGCTGTGTTGGTCATCTTCTTCGCGGAGAGCAGATTGGGCTTAACAGGGCAGTGGTCATAGCATTTTAATAAGATAATTTAACCCACAGGCCATTACTGTGTGTGTGTGTGTGTGTGTGTGTGTGTGTGTGTGTGTGTGCGTGTGAGTGTGACTGTGAGTGTGTGTTTTTGAGTCAAGTGATATTGAGGGAAGCCCAGAGATCCCAAGGTAACAGTCAGATTGAGTGGGGGCTGGCTGAGTCATTTGAAGGGAATCCTGGATGGTGCACAAGGCTGCCCACTCGCCCGGCCCCGATAGCTTCATCAGCATAACAAGCAAATAAATGCATTGACATGTCCCCATATAGGGCTTGCCTGGCCCACAGGGGTTGCTTTGAAAAAACAAATAAGTAATTTGTTTCTACGAGCAGCAATTGGCATTAAAAGTTATCTAAAATAACAGATTAAAGATTTTTGGATGGGATTTAGATCATGGTTTTTCAAGGGGGCGTTGTGTGTGTTAATAAAAAGTCAAAAGGTAAATGAAAAGCTTGAAGGCTAGAAAAAGAGGTTTAGGAGTAGGTGGACACGATGGCGAACCCATAGCCCACACGTTATATCCAATGATTAGAAATTAAAAAGGGATCAACAGGCGTGTAATTGACCAGTTAATTAGTCCATGGTCATTTTTTAAGTAACTTTGACAATTTAACACAGAGGAAAAGTATTGAAAATAAGATAAATAGTACCTTTTTCAACAGTATTCATTGCTATTGAAAATAACATAAATTCATAATGCTGGAGCACATTTGTGTTGTTAGAATAGATAAAATGTGGCCATCAAAGCATGTTTAGTCATTAGGGTGTAAGAGTGGCCATTTGCCTGTGTCCAGTTATGTGTGTTGATAACTCTGGTTCATGCAGTGTCTTTAGTCATTAACAATGAGAGCAGGTACAAAGGGATTTAAGAGGCCGCATTACTGTTTTGAATGGCCGGATGTTTAATTCTTCTATTATAATTGAGGCTGGAGCGAGACAGAGGTTATGGTAACTGCTGGAAACCTGTCCCACTTCACAGAAAGGTTAATAAACCTTAGAAGTCCTATGGGAGATGGAGTATGCTGTTAATTTGACAAACGTGGGAAATAAATGCTTTTATGCTTTTATTGACGGTGACCAATAGCGGCCTTTGCTGGGAATGAAAGGTTTTAGTCTTTTGGGTGCTCTGCTATGGAGGCAAAAACAATAACGTTGAATGCATTTGTTGGAAGAAACTAAGTACATAATTGTTCAAACAGCCATTTCAGGCCAAAAAGCATCTTCATTATTAATTCCTACTTTTGGATCATACACTGAGTGAAATGTACAGTAACCTAATTCGTGTTACTGCCTTTGTTCTGAATACATTTGTGGCAATGGAGGATTAAAATCATGTATTTTAAAAATCTACATATTTATGCAGACGGGGGTTCGTTTTAACATTGAAAGGATAATGCAGTGAAAGCATGGAGGGAACCTGAATTAGTCTATGGGTTTGGTTGGGGGGGGCATTGCAAAAGGTGCAGATGACACTGATCAGGACAGAGGTTTTAGGCACAAACCCAAGTGTACGTATACAGCATGCATGATAAAGAGATTAAATGGATAATCCCTTTCCTATTCACAAGACCTGATAGAAGCAGCGCTTAAGGGTTACAATGACAGACTTGGCTATGTCATCACTAATACATTTCTTAAAACAAGTATGAGCAGTCTTGTTTTTTTAACACATACAATAATTCTACACTTGGACTAGGTTTACTTGAAAAGCGTGTTGTGTGAATGGTGAATGAACCAAAATAACTTTCTAACAGCGTGACAACATGTTTTTGCTATAGAGAAATATGTACATTGGTAAATGCTACAGTGTTACAGTAAATACAAAATGCCATATCAACAAAAACTCCCTCATCATTTCCCATGTGGATAAATAAAGTTGGTCCAGACTAAGTCTTCACTCAGTCACATGTTTTTAGTCATCTTGCAACAAAACAAAACAAACAACCATGAAGTGTGTACCAATCAGTGGGGGCAGGTCCCGGCTCAAAAGTGGCCAAAATGACGTGCGCTGACATGCTTGCAATACCACCCCGGGCCGATGGGGGTGGACCCGGAAGAAGAATTAGCAAATGCTAACATATAGCATTGGCAGACCTCTGGAAAACGTCTTTACAGGATGGTCCAAAAGTTGGCTCTTGGCCCAAAGCTCCGTTCCACATGTGTGTCAATGCTGAGGGGAGTGAATTTTTTTGGACCACTCTAGTTTACTCGCTGTGAATTTTTGAAGTCTCTCGTTCAAATGAATGGAGTTGCGCCGGCTGACGCATGCGCAGATGCGTTTTTTCACAATTTTCTTGTGGGCGGGACCACTCGCGGCCATTTTGGATAGCTCCAGTAGAGCATTATTTTTGGCCCATTTGAACGGCGGAGATAGGCGTGACTACGTCCATTATTTTTTACAATCTATGGTACCAATCAATACACTTTCTTTTAAAGCATAGCTGCTTGGCTTACATTTAACACCAAAAATCACATTATATGAGTTTTGGTGACACTTGCCAAAATGCACATTTTATAGCAAAAATCCAAAGTGTAAACACAAAGAAGATATATACAGCTAACTTTTATTCCAGCTTCTTTTCACCCAGTCCTTCTTTACTGAACCAACAGCTTGTCTCACCCTCTCTCCTCCTCCCAGTGGCCTCACCACGGGCACCGAGCGCAGTCTTTGCCAGAGGAACCACACTCGCTCTTAACCTTTGGCCCTGGCTTATTGTTACCTGTAAGCAGCACAAGCTTGTATATACTGCGGTGCAGTTTGCAGCCCTGCAAGCTGTTTGTGTTCTTGTGAGTATGAGAGGGCAGGAGGAGGAGGGTGGGAAGACGGGGAGCTATTTAATCCTCCCCAAAGGAACTCCCCTCTCAACCAGTATCGTGAACTCGCAGGCAAATTGTGTAGCTGCCAGGCACGCCACACACACACTGCTGTCTTTTTAATTTCATCAACGGCAAAGAAATCTATACAGTGCTTTGGAACCGGCGCTGGGAAGAAGTGAACTATATGGCAACCCTTGAATGTAAACAGGTTCCTCTCCAACTGAAGCATAAAAATACCACAGTGCAAGGGAAAAAAAACCTCTCGGCGATGATGATGGTCAATAGTACAGATCAGAGGTCTGAGTAGATTTTATGGTTGTTAGTCCTACAGCATATCAATAAGAACAAGTTGAACAAATCCAAGAACAATTCCACAGGAAAACGCTTGCACAAAAATTATTCCAGTATAGAGGGGAATGAAAACAAACTGGCTTCACATATTGTGAGACAATGCGTGCGTTTTTCTTATTAGGATTGCTGTCATTTAAAAAAAATCCATGATAGCAATTATGTAGGTGTATCAGTACAATAGTGTGGGTTACTATTGTCAATTGTTTTACATTAAGTCTTTGTTCTTTGGGAACAAACATCTATAATTTATAAATGTATTAAAGTGTTTAGTAATTCAATAAAAAACCTAGTTGGATGGATTGTTCCTTAAAAAAAACATGTATCTAGTGTAGCAACTGCTATCCAGTGATTCTTAGTGACTTGAACTTGCAGATATTATTTTGACGATGCAATTTTAGCACCAACGGTCATACAAAACAGCTTGATTCTATCAGTCTCATACCACCATTAGTTTATTATAACTTTTGGATTACTGACACTCATAATCAGTACAATGAGTTAGACAGGCTACTATAATATGTGCCAACTTACATTCATAGCTGTCACACTTAATTAGCATGCCAAAATACAAGAAAATACATTGGCTGCAGGAGGTCCTTTGTGAAGTTATTGTTTTTGTGTACAATTAACTGGCAAGCCTGCTGTATACTTAAGTAAGGGCTATTTTAGGTGAACATAATTGTTAGTGAGTTGTTTTTATCAGCATGGCTCACTCCCCTTCAATGTACCCTATCAGGAGACGCCCAGCAGCCCCCCTACCAAACCTGACATTTCCGCCCCTCCATCTCCCCTGGTTCCTGTGAGCAATTGGTCCGGCCCTTATCAAAGTACAAAGTGTCAGAAGTGGACATTTCGCAGGGGGACAGGTAGGCCGCGCCACCTGTAAAACACTCTTGCTCGCATGCAGGGCCGGCTGCCAGAGATCCTGCTTTACCGACTCAAGTGGATAAGGAGGGGGTATATGACAAAGACGACAGCTTGTGTGGGGGAACATTGTCTGCGGCTGCAACCAGAAATCTTTTCAGGAAAAAAACAGGATTTCATACACAATGGTCGTGGGTGTGAAGAAAAGGGGCACATATTAAAAGAAGCAGCATGCAAAGCTATGCCGGTTTAAAAACTGCAGTCGGATGGGAGAAGGTCCAAACTGTCTCGCAGTGTGACAGGCCAGATCAAGGAGGGCTTTCCAGGTTGTTGTGTTTTTCTTGGAAAGAAAAAACAGATTTATCCAGGACAGTAGACAACAATATAACAGTGGGATGATCATTGAAAAAAGCTCTTTCATCTATTTAAACTGGTCACAACGTTTAAACAAGAGGGATCTGGCTTTCTTTAGAGGAATATTAAGCTTAATAACACTGACAAATGACAGTTTTTTGAAGGGTCAGTTGTGTACGGGAAAGCAGAGATGCTTAGAATTCTGTTGAAATAACGCACAGTGTGTTTATTGTATGTGGACGGGGGTTGGAGCTGACAAAGCGGAGGATTCTTATGTAATTCTCCCTTTAGGTGGCAGAGAACAGTACGAGCAGCAGCCCACACTAAAGAAATCAACCTGCTAGTAATGAGCAGCAACAATGAACGAAACCAATGGTTAAAATCCCTAGTAATGAGCAGGTTGACAAGCTATGTAAGTATGGGCCGTTGCAAAAAACACAGTTAAGTTTACCAAATGGAATGTAATTAAATAAAACCTAGAACTTCAGAAACCAGACATACAGTAACTGATACTCGATTTACCATCTTGGCTAAAAAAGCTGTGACTTTACTGAAAATACTTTGAGTTCACCAGGATGAATACAGCCTCTATAATTGTCACTTTTTCAGATTCCGCCAATTATGAAATTCAACCTGCAAAAAAACATTGATTTTGTTGCTATATCCTCATCATTAGATAATTATATTCTTAAGTCTGAATTAAAAAAAAAATATTGGATGTAAAACAAAAATGGGAGTCTGAACACAATGAGGAAGAGAAGTATTACTTGCAGTCAATTGGGTGCCAGTCTGGAAAATCACAGAACGGCCGCAGGCTTTGACGGCCGTTTGAGCCCTTTGAAAACTAAACAGCCCAAAAAGAGCGGCCAAGACAACGCATGACAGCCCGCAGCCAATGTGCCGCAAGTAAACACAGACCTGGATTGTGGAGCGTCAAAAAGATTCCCTGTGACTCCTCCTGCAGAGCATACATTTCTCCAACTTTTTACACACTGATCAAAACTCGAGGTTGAATATGTGATAATATCATCTCAGGTGCATGTGAAGAATGGGTACTTTCTTGAGGATTATGGATAATAAGTATTTGATCAATAACGAATAGTTTGTTATGTACCCTTTTATTGTCAATGACAGAGGTCAAAACATTCTGTAACGTTCTGTAGGTCTTCAAACTGTTTCTGGTAGTGTAGCGCATTCCTTCATGCAGCTCTCCTCGAGAGCAGTGATGTCGCTGGGCAACACTGACTTCCAACAACCTCCAAAGATTTTCTATGGGGTTGAGATCTGGAGACTGGCTAAACCACTCCAGGACCAAGCCGCATGCCTCCGTTGTCCAGGTCTCTTTATAGAAAAGCAGCCCCAAATCATGCTTCACAGTTGGTCTAGTGATCTGGTCTAGTGTCACAAAATCTGCACATAATTATATTTCTGTAACAAGGTAAAAGATACACAACAGTAGTAGTAGCGCTAAAAAAGTATTTATTCACAAAAAAGTATTTATTCACACCAAAACCGCGATACGCCCCGATTCAAAACTACTTGCCACAAATGTAATATGGAACATTTAACATGTCATCTGCACATGACAAAAACCTGATACAGGGACTTGGACCTCTGTTTGACCCATCAATCTGATGTGATACTGTGACTCTGAAACCGGTCAGCAATAGTTTGATATTGTGTGGATATTGTGTGGAGCTCTGCCGAGCTATATGTCCATCCATCCATCCATTTTCTACCCCTTAATCCATTTCTGGGTCGGGGGTGGCAGTCAGAGATGCCACCCGAGTCACATAGCACCAGCCCCTCACTGATCCTCTGCAGGTGGTGAGTCCTCAGGAGAGGAGTGGGGTTAAGTGTCTTGCCCAAGGACACAACGACAGCAGTCATCAGTGGGAGTCGGTGGAGAAGGTGTCAAGGTGGGAGCTATGTTTATGTTTGAAATGTTACAATAGCAATGGAAATGCTTTGTTAAAAAAATTAAATAAATAAAATAAAAACAAAATTTTAACACCACTTTTTGAAGCTCACAGCAAGTAAAAGGATGTTTTTTTTCCGTTTTGTTAATTATTTATTAAAGCCTAAAAGCTGCAGTTGTGTAGCAGCACCTCTGACATTTGTCTGGCTGCCTGTCAGCAGGATGAGCACTGCCTTAAATGTTAAGCACCTCCAGCTGGGCCTCCATGTGAAGGCCTATTGTTGACATCCAGGAAAATAGATTCCTGAAAAACAAAGAATGGCCGCCAAAGCCAAACTAACTCAAATAAATGATTACAATTATGCCCGAGCGCCACAAGCTGGCGATGATGGTTGGTCATAGGGTGGAGCCAACGTCACTTACTGGTCTGTCATCAGAGACCCGCACTATTTTGTAAGAAGAGTCGAGAGCTTTCCAAAAATGTGCAATTTTTGGATTCCAAATAGGGGAAAATATTTTGGGAACATAATTCTCTCTTCACCAATTGGTGGGACCAACTTGCCTAATTTTCACCCACTATACCATTATGGGGGAAAAAACACATAACCGAGCGACACCTGGGAACTCCTAGACTGGTCTTACCACACCATTGTACAAATTTAATTTCATACTAAGGTCTGGATTTGCTCCATTGAGCTCTGTTAACTGGTGGGAGGGGTTAACACTTTTGCAGATTGAAACGATTGGATCTGAGTTTGCTGTGACGTTTGTAAGTCCGAGTGAGTCTTTAGCATTTAGCCTAGCCATCTCCTTTGCCACTAACGGAGCCCGTTGGGAGTAGAGCCACAACATCTAAATATTCCTCTTGCTCTGGCTTCAATTTCTTGATATTTGGAGCCGAACCAGAACGGATTACTTTACTATCGCATTATCCGTCATTGCCAAACTACAACTAGCAAATTCGGCCCAATCTTGACGTCACCAGCACCTAGCTGCAACACCCACCTCTCGCACTCCCTGATTGGTCGGATGGGATTCAACCGAGGTAATTGCAGACACAGGGACAAGACCCAGAGGTACAAGTAAGGAAATAATTATTGACCGGAGTTTACGGATGGCTAAGGCCAGGCTAGGGCACTCCCAAACAATGTGGAAAAAGGTTCCAGTAACTCCACCACAGCACAATGTGCAGGTTGGATCTGATTTAGACTAAAATTGTTATTTAAAAAGTTCAGATGTATCTGTTTATGGTCTGGTTTTATTAGATAACAAAGTACAGGGACCCAAACAGTGTCCCAGTCAAAATCAAAGTAGATTGGTAATGTTTGTCCTCTGTCTAAAAGCAAATGTACATATGCCTGTCCCAAAATATGAGAAATCCTTTGTAAAGTAAAGCTGCAATAATGTAATTGTCTTAATTTGTTAAAATGAAAGTTGCCATTTAATGTGGAAAGGGCAACTTACATTTGAACAAAAGGGATCAATAGCACCCCCTTCTCTACGATTGTGTGGCACAGTTTAGTGAAAAAGAGGGCTGTACATCACAACTTGCAGCTATAATTGTTTTTATTATTACTATTATAAATATGTATTTACGTTTTGTATTATCCGTGCAGTGCAATCATCGCTACAAAGTAGTTTCTAGAGATTTTCTGGAGTGAAAGTTTCAGCATAGACGACAAACCGGGGCACTGCACTGCATTTCCATTACACAACTTCAAATAATTGAGGGCCAGGAGCCACTTGTGTGTAAAAGTTTGTGTAACCACAAATAACTGTTAACCTGGGCTACATGCATGTTTACTAACTTTGAAAGAAAAAAAGTAAAAAAAACAGAAATAAATGTTCAAATTCTTTTGCGCCCACCCCCTTGTCATAAGATATGGATGTCCCGTAAGGTTATTTGTGTTTTCTGGAAAATGAAGTGCTCAACTGGATTAAAAACACACTGCATATGTTTGGAAATCTGTTTCCCTGGGCGTATGAGTGGAGTGAAGCAGCAGCTTGCGTCTCCTCCAAGAGAGAGGGCAGACGCTCTCATCATTAGCCGGGCGACAATGTGCTCCTCTACCTGCTCCAATCTGCACAGCCAGGCTCCACTCTGACGCCAGCCAGATGTTCTCGGCACGAGGTGCAGAGTACGAGGGGAAGACAGACAGAAGAATGGAAATATTCAGCCTGCAACTACACAATAAGAGTTTAATTATGAATAATACCAAGACGTCTTTGTTCTCTCAATGAAACTAGCTATGGATCGCCTGGCCTTCGGAAGATTGTTTTTGGCTCCCATACGGGGGCAGCTGTCTGTCAAAAAAAAACTTAAATACTAACATGCCACAGAAGGGATAATTACAGGCTAAAGAACAATGCAATTAGGTATATGTATTTGGAATATTGGATATGTATTCAGCTAAACAAACTCAAAGGCCAGAGCTTAGAGAGACCATCTTAAAACATTCATTACTGATATTTGACTGAAATATTAGATTAACAACAGCTCAATGTAGGAGCACAAAAGTTTTTGTAACAAAGTTGCCATATTGACACGCACGCACGCACACGCACACCCACACCCACACACACGCACACCCACACACACCTTCTCAGTTAAAATTTCATTTAAAAGGTCAATAGAAGGACTTTTTTGTTGGCAGTAATGAGTTGTCCACACCCTTTACAACCATTTCTGGTTACATAAAGGCCAATAAATGATTGATTCCACATGGTCACTTCTTGAAGTTTTGCCGTTTTCCAAGAGTCAAAAGTCATAATAATAATGTCTAAGTAATCTTTGTTAATGCAACGATTCAATACCAAGCTTTATAGTAAAGAAAAGCTATTGAAAAACAAACGGTTCTACAAACACCTGTATTTATCATAGCATTTCTTTGGTGCATATTTTAATAATTCAGTGTTTTTATTTTTCGAAACCCATTTTGAGCAGCGTACTTGTGAAGAGCCGCACTAAGAGAGTTCCACGCCTGGGAGTTTGCAGATCGGACGTGTAGAGGTGTGGAGCAGATGATCTCCGCAGGCCACACAACACACAGACACAAAGCCAGCTGGCCTGAGACAGTCACAATACTTCAGTGTTTATTTGTCCAAAGCAACCGCATAACAGAGGCCGCGTGTGTCTTTGTGGAAAAAAAACACCAGCATGAGAATCCCTTTTGACCTACAGTAATCACAGTAAGACCCAGATGACATGAGCCCACCACAAAACGCACAGTAGGAGGCATTTTTGTGAAATAATAGATGGACAATACATTTACTTAACAGGCGTTTTAAGAATTGTCTTTGAAACAACTTTATACCATTATAGACATGTTTCATACTGGCAAAGAATATGACAACAAACAAAAGACGTACGACTCAGATAAAAGTTATTTGAAATTAGATGTATAGCTAACCACTATGAAGAAGCATGGCTAACCATTTTAAACCTTTATGCCGTGCCATCTGCAAAGTAACTAGATACTAATTACAGGTAGGAAACACAGTACTCCTGCAAGATGAAAAAAAAACCCTTGTTGCTTACCGTTTTATTTTTTTACTGAACTTCAGATGGACATGGGATTATGAAATTACTAGAGCTGCCACTTTCCTAATAACGAGTTTGATTGTGTTGTACCATTTGTTTGTCTGGATGTGATATCAGGTGGTAGAATTTGAATTTTCATCACTGCAAATAATAAGCAACAACTTTTGAATTAAACTTTTAACTCATATCCAACTAAAGACGTCTTTATGCAGAAAAAAGTTACCTGTGCCAAGCAGCGCTCACCTGTCTGTCAGAGACAAACTCACAGACAAGAAGCATTACAACAAACATGGAAAATCGTCGAAACCTTAGGCTACGAGTTTCTCTAAATGGGATTTTACAGAGCTAATGAACAAGTTGGCATTTCTCGGTTCAAGGAAAGAGCATAAAGTTTACCGCTGATTTGCAAGTTCATATTGCATCATGTTGGCTCACAAACAACCTAAGTATAATGAGGGAATAAGTGGAAGTAACCTCTCGTACTGTCTCTATTCGCAGACTCCATTCAGATCCTAATGATTTGCTTGTTACGGTATTTATTGCAGCAAGACCACAGCAAACATCTGGAGTGATTCGGTCGCACAAAGAGCAGCAAGCAAGAAGCGCTATCTGCCTGCAACTTTCCAACCAAACAATCTGTTTTCTTGTGTGTGCTTTTGTAACAGCCCTTAATTGATGTGAAAAAATAAGACTCTAAATTACAGTCATCAGAACTCAACAGGTCACTGACAGAAAGAATTTATACTCCGCTGTAAAGGTGGGCGATGGATATTTTGATAATATTCAGGCACTAACATGGCAATCCATCAAGTGGATCTCTTAACGTGGGTGAAGCCTTTTGGTAAGCACACCTTCACAAGGCACTGCCTGAACATTACTGGGGACATAACATACTAAACCTAACTTTTACAGTTTTTGACCATGTTTTGCAAAATGTGGTGTTTTTTTTTTCCAAAACAGAAACTTAATAGACTGAAGTTTTTTTTTTTTTTTGAGTTGCAATTAAAAACACCTTGAAAACATAGTGGAGTGCCTTGGTGCTCAGCCATTGCTAGTTTGTATGTGGGTTAAAATTATGTTATTATCCACAGATAAAAGGATGTCATATCTAAAATATTCTCTTGTTTTAACAATGGATACCACTTATGCAGTGGGCAAAAAGTGTTTAGTCAGCCACCAATTGTACATACAGGTACCGTATATCTTTTCTTGGAGAGACAAAATGTTGGCAGTTGGTAAGCAGTTAGTTTTGAAGAATTTGATACAAAGGGTTCTCTTGGCAGGGCTTACAGGCGCCAAAAAGATGGTTGCTCCAAGGTGGAAGCCCTTCACTTGTTGTCTTGCCGACTGTGGATTTTGACTTGACATCATTTTTTCATATATTCATATTTGATCTATATTGTTTCTTCTTCAGCACTTCCCTGAGTCTCAGTCGAGAAAATCTTTACCTTCATGGACTCATAAAGATCAGTTTGAATACTTAAACTGGAGAAGGATGTAACGATGTATAAGTCATATTTATGTGAAGAAAATTGCAGCAAAAGAGCTTCCCATACAATCCATCGTAAAAGCCACTATAACCCAACAAAGCCAAATACAACATTATTTGTGAAAATGTAAGAATAAAGTACATGTTCCTTACAATTTTAAGTGTGAATGGGAGTAAAGTCTCCTCATCATGTTCGATAATTCAGACCTCAACAGACACAAAACCACATTGAGAAATATAGGTGGATAGAAAATACGAGTGAGGTCATGTGAAGCCACACTGGTCAATTAAACACCTCCCACTGCGGTTGGCATCACCCAAAAGGCTCATTAACCCTTTTGACCAACCACCAGTCACCATCTGAAAACCTCCTGGAGCAGTGGCCAATCCGTGCACAAGCAGAGTAGGTCAACACCCACACAAGTGACAGGAAATTGAATTGCTGCTGAGTGTGGTCTGTCTGAGCAGTTGAAAGACATTTGTTTATTTGCAGCTGGTCAATGGGATTGACAGGATATGATGTAAAAAAAAAAAACAGTTGAGATGAGTTCAACAGTAAGAGTTTATTAAAAGGAGACATTTGTTCTCTGAGTAATCTTTATTGTTCTGCAACCAAGACACTGTTGCATCAAAAACTGATGCATGTATACAAGTCTCCTGCATGTGAAAACTTGATCATGAAGGTCTCGGAAACTAAGCAGGGCAGGAACTGGTTAGGACTGTGATGGGAGACCTCTGGTTACACCAGGTGCCACAGTGAATTGGCTGTTAAGTGACACATTTTTATTGACACAATCCAAATGCTTAGTCTGGTGCGTGTGTGAATGATTGGTGGTGGTTGGAAGGGCCGATGGCACAGATGAACAACATTGCTTCTGTCAGTCTGCCACAGGGCAGCTGTGGCTAGAATAGTAGTTAACCATCACTGTGTTTGGAGCAAAGAATAATGCCTTGCAAAGCATCGTTGGGTGTCATGAAAAGTCAGCTTTTTGTTGACAAAAGGTGCACCAGAAAAATTTAAAATTACGTTATAATATGACAGCTTAGTTATATAAATAATGAAGAAAAATATAAATGTACTTATATTGACTTGTACTGGTACCCCAGCTTTAGTATGCTATAGTTTTCCCATGTACACATACTTAATTTGACAACTACTTCTAAACATTTGCATTACATTTCAATTCAAAGCTGTGCTCCATAACTGAAGTCTTTAAAAGACATGTTTTGAGATCAGACTTAATCTACTGGTTGATCTCTCTGTCCCTGTAGGATTAAAAATTATCTGCAAAGACGACCAAATATTTCAGGAAATCAACAATTCAACACACATTTTGGCGTCAGAAGGCACGAATGTGCAAGCAGACAAATGAAGTGGTTGAAAGGGAGCGAAATATGAAGAGGAATACGGGGATCGGAGCGGTGCCCATTTCGGGGGTGTAAAATATGGAGAAGTGTGGAGCATTGGGGGAGCTGCTCTGCCTCGGGGAACAGATGAAGAGAGGAGGCCGTGCCAAGATGTGTCCTCTGGAGGGGGAGCAGAGGGAGGCCGCGCAATGGGAGGAAGACTATGACACTCACTCCAACAGTCTCACACGTCCGGACCTTCCACAGCACAAACTGCTGCTGACAGGGCCATGCAAACTTTCACAGCCATTTAGAAAGACTTACTCCCACACTTTTGTCACACGCATTTATTGCGAAAGATACATGATACGAGACATTACCATTTCTTGAACTTGGCATCATATTTTTTCCTAAAAGTTTAGGCTTAGAAGCCATTCATAATTTTTCAGACTTGCAATCAGGCCTTCATGTAGATGTAAACACGAGACATGCCAAGTGAGACCCTGAGATTATGAGAAATCCACATCTCCCAAAAACCATTGCTCCATAAATTTGTATGATAAGAGTTTGTAATCCTATCACAAAAGCTGTTCGGTTCCTATCACCAAAACACATGACTATCTGTAAATAAACATGAAGCAGAAGAGAAGATGCTTTACCTGAATGTCCGCGACCACCAGTGCCGCCAGTGAGAGAATTCTGGATTAGCTTGACTTTTGGGTCAGGATGAACCCGCACCAGGATGTACAACTTTTTTTTGAGCGTTAAACATTTGGTTAATTTTTTTGTTTCATTTCTACCTCAAATGAATTCAATGCAATAAAAGCATATGGAGTCATTTGGCACATGCATCTACAGTACTGGTCTAATACAGTAATAGATTAGATATCAATCAGAAGGGTCCAGAGAGAACCTATTTTTTGTTTCTATATTTTTATCAATACTAAGTGACAGTGTTTTGGATCAAAAACCAAATCCACTTGTTAGCATATTCACTGTAACTTTCTGCCACTTACCCCAGTCTTTATACCCTACAATCTGTCAATATTATAAAGTGAGAGAAAAAGCATCTTAACTAACACTAGATCACAGCTATTGGCCGATGACTTGGCCGCTTAATTGCCGGAAAAATCTTCATTCTGTCGGTCCCTAAAAGTTAGAGAATTACGGGAGCAGATTGAATTATTGCACGAGCACATTTGTCATCCCTGGTCCCGCGCCCAAAATCTGCCAGACCATATGATGGGATTTTTTTTTATTTTATTCACTTCCTCTACAAACAGACATTTTAATAGACACTCTCTTTTCACTGTAGCACATATGGCGACAATATTTAGCTTTTAAATAAATCAATAATAATGATATTATTTTGCGTTTTTATTGGGTTGGGAATACTTCATTTTGCAAGATGATCCCAAATTAATATCTTGATATATTTTTGTGTTATGCCAAACAGTAAGGCAAGGCAAGGCAAGGCAAGTTTATTTGTATAGCACAATTCATACACAAGGCAATTCAAAGTGCTGAACAAAACAAGAAAGCATTAAAATCATAAATAATCACAGTACATTAAAAAAAAGATAAAAATATAAAATTCCTCAGTTGTATGCACAGCTAAACAGAACTGTCTTTAACCTGGTTTTAGACATTGTCATTGAGGAGGCCTGTCTCACATCTTCAGGAAGACTGTTCCAGATTTTAGCAGCATGAATCTGAAAAGCAGCCTCCCCATGTTTAGTTCTGACTCTGGACACTAACAGGAGTCCAGTCCCTGTGCTCCTCAGAGTCCGGGCTGGTTCATATGGGACTAACATGTCACTAATATAGTTTGGTGCGAGGCCATGGAGAGACTTGTACACAAGCAGAGCTGTTTTAAAGTCTATTCTCTGAGCCACAGGAAGCCAGTGCAGAGACCTGAGGGCCGGACTAATGTGGTCGTACTTCCTGGTTCTAGTCAGGACTCGAGCTGCTGCATTTTGAATGTACTGCAGCTGTTTTACAGCCTGTTTGGACAGACCTGTGAGCAGGCCATTGCAGTAGTCTAACCTACTGGAGACAAATGCATGGATAAAACAGTACTCTTAACCAAAACGAACTCTGAGGAGCACAGGGACTGGCCTTCTGCTGCTGCCCAGAGTCAGAACTTGCAGCTCAAATATGGAACAGTCATTTTGAATATGTGATCTCTATACTTAGGGCAGTATTAGGTCAATCCATCAGAAAGTATAAAAGGTGTAAATGTCGTGTTCAACCATTATGGTATGAATGTAAAATTTACCATATACAGAAGGACTATGCATCGATCATTTTGTTGTTCCACTTGCATGGAACTGTTCATTACACTAATGAAGCAACAAAAACACAATTTTCAAAGCTCTATCAAGACTTTATTTGGAAGATTCAAATACAAGTCTAAAAATCCAAACAAGGCTTCAAAACACCC